CCCCCCCCCCCCACCTTGTGCGCTGGCATCTCCCCAGCGTGGTTGCCATGGCAACGGGAAGCAGGGGGATGCCTTGTTGCTAAGCACCCGCAAAGTGGTACCCACTGCCAGCACTGAAGGGGGGCACAGGATAGCCCCCCCAGCCCCCCCCAGTGCATCCCAGAGCCCAGCTCCTGCTCGGGGGCTGCTGCCCACTGTGCCCTCCCCTCGCCCTCCTCTTCCCCCCCGCTCCAGCCCCCCAACTCCCGGTGGGGGGACACTTGGGGGGGCCACAGCAGGACCTGGTGACATGGGATGGGGACATGGTTGTCCTAGGTGGGGGGGACGGGTCAGACCTGGTGTGACTCCATTCCCCCCCCATAACGTGGGACATGGTGCCACGACGGCCAACCCTGAGCAATGGGGGGGCACCCGGCCCCTTGCCTGGGGGCTGCTAGGGGGCACTGGGAGAGACTGGGCTGTACTGGAGGGGGAGCACTGCCATCATGGGGGGGGGGCTGAGAAGGGCCAGACCCCCCCCCCAAGCCCAGCATGGGGACATGGTCTGACCAGGGGCAGCGTGCCACCCCTGGGGTGACAGTAAGGGACGAGGGGGGGGCTCAGGGGGTGCCCCCCCCCATCCTCAGCGGGTGCCGGGGAGGGGACACGGCGCGGTGGCTCGCCGTGGGCCGTGGGCGGGTTGCTGGGACGACGCGCCTGGCTCTGTCACGAGCACCGGAGACGTGCCAGCTCCCCGGGGACCCCACACCGGTGGGGGGGGGACGACAAGGGACATGTGGCCCCCAGCCCCACGGGCCACCCATGTCCGCTCGGCTCCTGGCACCTCTGTCCTAGAGGGGACACGGGGCTGGGTCCCCCTTTCCTTGCCCCCTGGGTGCCAGCACGCACCTCCCGGTCACCCTGGGGTGGGCACAGAGGGGTGAGGGGGGGGGTCCTACCCCACCGAGCCCGGGCAGGTGGCCTGTCCCCAAGCGCCGTGTCCATCCCCGAGTTCCGTATCCATCCCCAAATGCTGCGTCCGCCGCCAAGCGCCACGTCCGTCCCTTGGCACCATACCCGTCCCCACACCCCGTGCCTGTCCC